CTTATCCGCTACACTTTTTGTCAAATTCATCAAATAACTTCTCATGGTCCCATTAGCTATCTGTTCTATGTATGCGCAGAAAAAAAATCTGGTGTTTGTACCCATCCCTGGCTCTGTAAATGGGGAAACAATCAAAGTGGACAACACTATTCCAGCCAATAGGCAACAGGTGCAATCTGTGCTTTCACAAGACGAGAGGCAGGGTAAATCTGTTACATGCCAACAGCAACAGAGAGGGATGGCAGAACAGCCAAAAAAGAGAAGTCCAGACCACTATCTTCAGCGCCCCTAGTGGTAGTGACCAGTAGTCCGTGTTAGCGACCACGGTCAGCAGTGATGGATGAAGTATTCAGATCCTTTACATAAAAGTAATAATACCTCACTGTAAAAATACTCTGTTACAAGTAAAAGTACTGCATTGAAATTGTTACTTAAGTATGTAAGTATAATTGTAGAATCAGGAAACTGTACTTAATGTAAAAACAGGATTTTACTGCTGTAGTTGGTTGAGGTTCAACTATGTTGTATCTGACTGCAATTAATGGCTTTTTTCAGTTTGGATTTATCTGCTAACATGACATTTTTCTCCATTAATCGATTGTAAAAAATGTATAACAGTGAGAAATGTTGTCACAATTGCCCAGAGCCCAAAGTGACACCTTCATAATGCTCGTTTTGTCAGTCCAAACCTCAAAATTTTTAAACATACACAAAGAAAATCGTATAAAGTATTTCCCTCTGATGTAGTGTAGTAGAAGTTGCATGAAAAGTAAAGTACAAATACCTCTAACTTGTTGTATAGTATTTGAGTAAATATACTTAGTGTCCCCCACCGATGGTCAGTGAACATAACACTGAACTGGCTACAACCCCTGCTGAAAGTGGGGCAGTTGAGATACTGCGAATGAACCAGAACTCTAATTCTACAATGTATTTAGGATAGGCTACCTGTAAACTCCATCAGCTGATGAAGAGCATGGGATACAGCTGAAAGTGAGTAAGTGGACCTTAAGTCAAGATTGTTTTGTCAACTCCTGACTTCCAGGTCAAGAAAGAACTGTCAAGCTCAGCTTCAATAGTAGTCAGCTACTGTTTTGAAAGAGCTTAAACTTACTTGCGTCTCTTTTGGTGGCAGCTTTGTTATAGCTTAGTAATTTCTCCCGCAGTGTAGCTTGCACTGTTCTAACACCATTTCAGTTTCCAATCCTGTATAAAAATAGCTGTACCATGATATCATAATTTTCATTAATTTGGGTTGACATCGAACTGGGCCACCCTCTTGCATATCCCTGTCCAGAAATTGCTTGTCGAGTATTATTGAAGAAGATTTCTATCGCTATCTTTCATAAGCCACTGTCAACTACTTTGAGTAGGGGCTCACAAAAAGAATATGACCTGCTGATTTAGTTTTGGCTTAAATCAGATCAATCTCTTGCCCCACCTATCTCATCTTTTCTGCCCCATGTGTGACATATTCTCTGCTTTTCATTATTATAGTATTCTACATAATATTCAGTATTGGCAATATTATATTAATATTCCAACCTTGCCTCTCTCTCCTACATTCTTTTGCATGCTCTCTCCTCACCATACTCCTCTCCACAGGCTCTTCCTCATATACTTTCCCCCAAATCCTCCACCTTCCTCTCCTCCCCCTTTCTCTCCCACTGCCTTCTCCATCTCTGCCGCCCTCTCCAGCTGAAGTGCTGGCTCGACTAATTAAAAGCCTTAATCAGGATTCATAATTAGGTCTAATCAGTGCCTTGTACATCATTCCCTTGCATTCCTCCTTCGCTGGTGGTGAAGGCCGAGATGCTTATGAAATAATTTTGGCAACTTAATGCGTCCAAATGCGGAGCTGGGAGCAGGGCTTCAGTGAAAGGGAAAGAGAGAGGAACATGATTAGGACCAGGCGGCTGATTGCTTCCCCTTCCTCCCCCTCTGGTTCTGTACTTCACACATTCAGATTGGTTCTCTCTCTTTCGTTCTCTTTCTACCCTTCTGCTCTTTTTCTCATATGCGTGCTTTTGTGTGTGTGGCGCCCTCATGGCAAGACAGTGGGGTAATAAAGCAGACAGCCTCCCAGATTACAGCTCCCTCCTCTAACTCCACTGTATCCACCTGTTTCATTACAGCTGAGGCCACAGCACGCTAAATCCTGCAACAGCCTCTCCGCTCTTTACTGCCGTCTGTCCACCTGAGCTGATCTGTTAGGATTAACACCCGACACAATACAGTACAGGAACAGAAAATAATTATACTGTTCATTATGCAAAAGGCCTCAGCATAGCAGCCTCCTGGTTTATTACCATGTCTCTGTGCTGCTCTCATCACTTCTACAAAGTAGGAATATGATCCCACTGCAAAGGAGCTGCTTCTTTTGAATTTCACCGCTGTGTATCATTGTAGCTCATAGAGTCCTGACCGCGCAGAACGTTTCTCTTGTGCCTCTGTCAGCCTCCTGCTGTCTGAATAAGAAATTGTTAAGGGGGAAAAAAATTTAATCGCCTTCAAAAAGAAAAACAGCAAACAGTAGGTGTCTGAGAGAAAGCTGCATAGAACCGATTTCAGTGGGGCGCTTATTCTGCCCTCTTTGTCTGTGCTGTCAGAAAAAGACCATTTAAAAAATATATCCCAGGTGCACAGGTACGTGCTCAAGCTGTGGTACACACACATGTAATCGCAATTATGATGACAAGGATTTTCCAGCGAGCCATACAGAAATTTGTCAAAATTATGACATGCATTGTTCTGTGCAAGCTATTAGGCTTATAATGGAGTGGTTACCTTGACGACCGTAAATCAAGCCAGGTAGTGCAACAGGATGAGGGTGTTTGAGGGCAGAGAAAAACTAGAATTGGTGTCATTTTCTAAAAAGGTTGCATTATCTGAGGGTGTCATGTGATGTCCTGCACGGTGGTCTCGGGATCTGCTGTACATAAAGAAAAGTGTAGCTAGTCAAAAACACAGTCAATTAACATGAACCATAATTCAGTTTTTCATTAGTTTGCTATAAAGTCTGTAAGCTAGTGTTGCAGTCAATACCACCCAAACCGAGACCAAGTCATGACCACAACAGAGTGTATTGAGGCAAGAACAAGACTTTCAGTGGTTGAGACCAAGTCAAGATCAAGACCAGTACCCCACACCACAAGACACACGATAAAATGTGGAACATGATCATAGGCACTTGTTAAATTGATCTGAAAGATCCACATTCCTATAAAAACACCCACATACAAACACTAAGAGCTTAAATCAACTAAACCGTCTTCATTCAACAGTCCTTTTCCTTGTTTTACCATCCATCTAACACAATACAGTTTTTTTGTGTGCAAGCATTAGGTTTGCTGTTTGACTTCATCTTCCATATTTGATCTGCAACTGTGAATTCAAACTATGGCCTATATGGCCATGCAGAGCAACCTATTTAATATGTCAAATTCTCGGCTCCACTCTCACATCTCTAGGCTAGCACTCTCACACAAATTAGGGAGTGGTACCAGCGCGTAGCTTTAATGTTGGGAGCTGTATGCAGCTGACATTAGCTAAGGCGGATGTTACTCACGCATTAGCTGCATGACTTTATGTGGCCTGTCTTGTCATTGTTTTTCACAAGCAACAATGTAACTTAGGAACAAGTTCTCACCACATGCCTCTCAATCTCTCACATGATTAACACTGCATTAGCTACTTCCCTCAAATTAGCAAACTAGGAAGCATGTGCACCTAGCTAGGTGGCAAATAACTGGCAGGCAACTAAAACTAGCGCTCTGACTTATCCTCCCACTCCCAGACAAAAAAAAAAGAGAGAGAGTCTAATGTTGAGAATTGTTTATTTTGTTTATTATGATGGCATAGTTTGTGTTAATATGCTTTGGCAACATATTGTATGCCATCATGCCAATAAATCCACTTCAATTGAAACTGAACAGAGATGATGTTACTGTCTCTACATGACTGTGGAGCAACCATAACAACAGAGTAGGCTACAGCTACTAGGAGTATGGCAGAGACTATGACGGGAAAACCTTAGATGTGTCCAAGAAAAGTTTCTGATGCTCCAGATAAGAAAGAAACTTGGATTACAGTAAAAATAAAACTCGCAGGCGAGCGGTAAGAGAAGATAAGGGACTGAGGGCAGACACAGATGTCGCGTTACTGCCCTTGGACATGTTGGAGTGAGCTATGTAGCTGTTACATTTACTCTACCTAAATAAGGGATTATTGTCTTGGAACTGTGGAAATGTCTTTTAGCAACTATTTCTGAACACGAGCCTGGGGTGAGCTCACCTGTAGGCATACATCATGAGCACCCATGAACAGTGTTTGCGTAATTACTCTCACTGTCAGAAGGGCAGACAAAAGTTCCACACTGCAGGTTTAAATTTAGCTCCATTTTGACTGGCTCCGTTTGCTCCTTTTACTCTTAGATCAGAAAGGGTTATTTTTGTTTTCAACCACTGGTCTTCCAATTGCATTTATTAATGAAATGAAAAACAGAAGTTTTGAAATGAGAACTGGATGGAGCACAATGCAGGGCCACAGGCAAAAGAAATGAATCATACCCAATCAGGTATTTCTTGTGACATCGTTTATAGCTTGGCTGAACAGTGTCCTCCAAAAACTATAAAATATTATAATCGTTTTCTCTGCTAAATGACTGCATTCATGCACAAATCTGAAAGTGACTTCAATCATTATTTAAATGGAGACAGTACCTTGGTATAAATGCTGTAATCAGTTTAAACAATAGCAAAGACAACTCCACTCCACGTCACAAGTATTTTCAGCACTAAGTCCACATTTCCCATAATTGCTGTTTCAAAGACTTTCTGCTGCAAAGATAATGTATAATGGAGCCCCTGTAGGCCAGTAAAGGCTGCCAATTGACTCAGCTATGGTGATTGTTTTTATGTCTCAAATTAATGTGATACTAAATTGTTGATGTTGAAATTTTCCAAATGACGACAATAATCTTGTGCTCTTGCTTTCATCAGTCTAAAGAAGAAAAGAATGCACAGGTTAGATCTACAAAAGGTTTGCTCTTAATCTTCCTGGGAATCTTCAAAAATGTGGATGTGGCGGACAGTGCCCCCCTTACATATCCTGGAGTCTCTTATTGCTCATTGCAGCAGGAGGGAGAGACAAGAACTGAATCTGCAGAACGGCATCACAACACAATGCAATTCAACAGTTTAAAAATTTAAATGTATTTAATAAATGCATGAGGGCTGCACCTGTGGCCACTTTGGAATTAAACTGAAGTAATATTTACAAGCCTCTCAGTGCACATCTTTTCACTTAACACTGGAAAATGCTGAAACTGATGTAATTTTGATGAATGCAAACTGAATTAATGCATGGTCACATTATACCCAACACGCCCGCATACTTAAGCTAAATGCCATTAAATGTCTTCTTTTTTTTCATCGCTGCATTTTTAGTTCTTTAGAGAATGTAAAGGGCCAAAGTGGAACTATAAACTAAAGTCAATACTGTGCAGAGGCTGGCTGGTTGGCCAGTAGTGTTTTTGTATGTGTCACTGTGTGTGTGTGTGTGTTGCTGGATATGGATGAGTCCACAAAAATTCTTTTAAGTTTGAAGCCCGCTTCTGATTTAAAAGAGCGTTATAAGTCGCTGTCACATGACTCACTGCAAGGTGGTGTCACGGCCTCTTGATATGACACACACAAGCACACACATTATGCAGCTGTCTGAGCAGTCATTTCCAGGGATATTCGAGGCCCTGTGACACGGTGGGCCATTAACAGCAGAATAATATCACAAGTTGACCTTTGACATTTATAGCAGCTTATATCTCTATTGCTGATAGATGCATGCTCTGCACTCTGCACTCTGTGCTAGAAATGAACTGACATGGAGGGAGAGGAGGGCAAAATCCTTCCATCTTAAGCCACGCCGGAGCAAATAGCAGAGCGGCTTAGGGAAGGTGGGAGCGCGGGGGGGAAGTGAGAGAGAGACAGAGAAGCTTTGATACAAACTGGAGAGAGAGGGAGAGATGATGGGATAATGAGAATGTAGAGAGCAGGTTTTTTTTCCCCCCTTTCTTTTACGGTTAGGTTGCTGTTATACCCCCTCTCCCATCTCAACTCCGCCGCCCCGAACCCAGTGTGACGGCGTTGCATTCAACCAGATGACATCACCTGTTGATTTGGTAGCAGAGCCCCGGTGATATATTATACCGCTCTCTCTTTTTTATACGATCTTTTTATTCTGCCTGTGCATGCCACTCACCTCGTCTTTCATTCCTCTGCCATTACTCATCTGCTCCCACAGTCGCTTTTGCCTGGTGCTTACCAGAATTCCTCTATTTTTAGATGTATCTTTATGTGTGTTCCTGTGATTTCTCCACGTCTATCACACGCTCCACATTTCCTCGTCAGAGCGATTAATAAAGCAGTGACACAGTTCATTTGCATCTCTGTTACTCAAACCTCCCCAGTGCCCCATATTTTGACCTTTTACCCTTTCCCCTTCTGCCTTGCTTCCCTTTCCCACATTATTTTGGTTTCCGTCCTCCATCAGTGTGCCCTTAAGCGGCGGTGTAACCAGTTTCCCATGAGGCTGAGTGGCAGCCTGACTGGCAGGCTACCTAACTTCATCCCTTCCACCCCTGCCTGCCCCCAGATTTTCCACCCATTTCCCCTCCATCCATTCACCTCCCAGCCCCCTGCAGATGACTCAGTGCCCACCTGCCCCGCAGCCATCATCTATCAGTCAGCCTGAATCACGCACACACACAATGGGTGTGCTCCATGGGATACACGTGTACAGTAACTGCTGTGGAGGACTAAAATGACAGCTTCTGCCCTAAGGGATAGGCTGAACTTCTGTGTGCATGTATGTGTGCACATGCTCAAGGGTGTCCATGTACATGTAAATGTAGTTATCTCTATAAATATGGATGGCAACGCACATGGAGAGGTTGTGAATAAAACATGGGAACAGGTGATGGTAGCTCTACTATACTCTTGATTAATCTCTGAGGCTGTTACCTGGCTGTGATTGTGAGTGAGTGAGTGAGTGACTTTTCAATATCATGTTCAAATGTTACTGCATTCTGTGGTCATGTTAAGGAAATGTGTGCTTTATTATTAGTCTTTATATAAGGGATTAGATATTTTAATATGCAAATATTCTGTCTGTATAAGGGCGATCGTTAGAAGTTCCATCATATAATTTAACCATCAGCCATAAAAAGTTTTGCAATAAAGTTTTGCTGTAATGAAAGGGCAGCCATGAGTTCTCTTTTTATGAGAAAACTATTCACACATATTTGCAACCAAACTACTTGTAATTCTGGATACAGCAATCATTTTTATAGACTTGTGTATTTTGGTTGATGCAGGTAAACATCTTCTCTGCTTATAATGACCCAGATAAGCTTTTCTTCCAGTTATGAAAAACCTGATTAACATATCTGGGATACATCTGTATTAGCTTGAATAGTGAGGTGAATACGCATATACTTGTTCACATTTAGAATTTTGAGTTGATTTATGGAGATGTGTCCATAGATGAAATGAAAATAAAGGTTTGCCCCTAATACATCTTAAAATTGCTTTATTTCTTACTTAAAAGGTAGTTGATTTAAATTTTTTTGTCAAAAGACCTGACATAGGAACTATTTGGAAAGCTAATTTCCCAAGAAAGCTAATGCGCCAAAGATAATGTTTGCTAATCATGCATAGTAAATTTTCTGCTGCTGCAATGGGAAACTTGCTGTTTGCCACTGATCATCTCCACTGGATAAGATTATGATATAATGCTTTGCTCAGCAGCATTTCAACTCTTTTTGAGTGAGTCAGACTGCTCCTGAAAAGAAATTGGATCTTTAAATTTTTAGCCATGGTAGTGTCATGGTTCGATGGATGGCAATGTCAGACTTTCTGTCAGTCACTTGGCCTGTTGGATCCCCAGTTTAGTCCAGAATAAAATATGTCAACAACTTTTAGATGGATTGGAATGACATTTTTTACAGACATACATGGGCTCCAGAGGATAAATCCTAATGATGTTTTGTGTGACCGTGGTATATTTGTGGTTTTAAGTGAAATTGAAATAGCTAATAGATGAGATGATTTGGAACAGACTCATGTTACCCTCAGGATAAATTTGTATCACTTTGGTGATCCCCTGATGTGTGCATAATATCATCATCAACTCAAAATATGCCCAGTACTTTTATTTTTGTAACCAAATACCTGCAAAACTATTTGCATTCCCGTCAACTTCAGCCATACATTGTGTTTAGCGCTAAGAAGCAAATGTTATCATGCGAAACTAACATGGTGAATGTGATAAACACTATACATGTTTACATTGTGAGTATTTTAGCATGTGGATGTTAGTCTTAGCTCAGAGAACCACTGTGCCTAAGAAGTTTTACTTCTCGTTCGAAAAACCACCAACAACATTTTTTTTCTGGAAAAACAGAATTAAAAAACAATAATGATATTTGTCTTCAATGGACGTTTGGTTTTACATTAAGATATCTATGACCTTTATGAGCTTCTAACTATGTGGCCATAAATTCTCCATATTTCCAGCAACCGACAAATTCACATTTTCACATTACCAAGTAATAATTGTCTGTTCTGGATGCTTTTTTCTGATGCTCTGATGCTTTTTTGAAGCATGTTCTTATTTTTGAATGCCAGAAATCACATCCCCAATAATTGCTGAGTGATTTGTCTTGATCAACAACATTTTAATTATAGTTGTTTCGTCTTGCAGGAAATCTCACATACTTCCTTTTTATTAAAAACAACATAGCTTATACACAGTAAGATGAACTGGTACAAAAACTCACTTATGCAAAGTGTTAACACACTGTCCATCACCATGAGAATCATATTTAGATTACTAAAAAAGAACAAAGCCCTCACAAATCAAGATCAAAAAGACAAATGGGAGGTCACTGAAGTAAGGAGGAAGGCAGCAGACAAACAAAAATGTACTGTGTTATGAGTTGCCAGGGTTTGATACAGTTTTCCTGATCTTACTAATGCATTCTGCTGTAGACATTTTCCCAGCATGCCTCCCTCCTTCCCTCTTTCCTCTCCCGGCCTCATCTCCATCGCTGTCTCTGTTCCAGCCTATCAGACATGACAGTACCAGCTGGCTGCTGGCAAACTCACAGCCAGAGGATAGAAGTTGTGTGTGTGTGTGTGTGTGTGTGTGTGTGTGCGTGTGTGTGGGTGGGTAAGAGTGTCAGCATATCTGTCTTTTGGAGGTGTGTGTCCACATTTCTGTCTTAGGTGTGTATGTGGCTGCGTGTGAGGCACATTATATATGAGTTTGTGTGTGATCAGTGTGATGCGTCAGAAAGCGAACATGTTGATTTAATGTCATGGAGTTTGAGCTTGAGTGATCTGAGTCACAGGTGTGTGGTGTTAAGAGCAATATTTAATTCCTATAAAGATAGTTGTCAACACTTGCTTGAAGCAGCTGTGTACTCTTGTGGGTGCCTGGCATTTGCTTTTCTGCCTGACTCACTGAGCACATTAAAAGCCACTTATTTGCCTTTCTTGCTGTGTGGATATGTGCCTGTAGAGATGTGTACCCTGGCTTTTGTACTTTTCATGCATTTCACTCAAGTTTGGTTAATTTATAGAAACGTGTAACAAAAAAAAAAAAGAAGAATGTGAGAGACTTCCTATTTCTTCAACACACACACACACACACACACACACACACACAAAGAAAATCAAACACCAACCCCTCTCTGTCTTGGCAGCTCGGTACACTTTCACAGGGCTGCAGGAAACATTTAAAGCTTATTGGAAACATTCGAGATGAACAGCAGATGTGTCTGTGATTTTGGAGCTGTTCAACATGTTCACCCCGACCCCAACCGCCACTGACCCTACTCACCTTTCTGCGGCTGCCCCCTCGCTCTTCCCTGCATCGATTAAATACACATATTCCCTTCTTCCCATCTGTCCGGCTATACCTCCTCTTGCGTTATAAAGTGGGGGACAGAACATCCCAGTCAAGGGACACACCCATCTCCCACTCGCCGAATCCCATCCAGAATGATTTTTTTTTAATCTTCAGCAAAGCAGACCTAAACATCCTGTCTGGCAGTTCTGTTTTGCACTGTTCAGAAATTATTTCTTTACATTTGTACTGTCCTTTTGCATATGTCTCCATTTGCTTCCATTTTTGAATATAATTTAAATCCTAAATCACTAAGATTACAAGCTGCTAATAATAAAAACTACAGCTGGTGACCTTTAAATATTCTTCAAATGCTATAACTATATGTGTTTTCCTTTTATTTACCAGCCAGTGGGAAGCTGGAGTTAAGGTAAATCATTGTTGCATCTTAGCACCTTGGCCAGACATTAAGCAAGAGCCCTAGTTTGAAAAGACCACGAGGGAACTTGAGGTAAACCAACAGGACCCCGTGGGCCTGTCCAGACGGGGTCTGAACCAACTCTCTACTAGTTGCAACAGGCCAGAGCTGATGACAGACGCGCAGACAGGAACTGACGAGAACAGGGGCTCACATGTTACACGCTGTTTGTTCTGTACAGACTCCAAAATCTGCAAGACATGGAAGTGCTGGAAAGGGAGAAGGAGCAGAGGAGAGATGGAGAAAAAGAGCAGGAGCAGGGGTGAGGGAGAGGGAATGAGAGGAGGTGAGACGGCAAGAGGAAATGGGTTGACAGTGAGTTAGAGGAGATGGGAGAAGGTGGAGGAAAGAGCGCTGCATGTGGGAGGGCACTTTAACAATTATATGAAAAGTTTGAGTTTTTGTTTTTGTAAGGTTTTATGGTAAAGGGGTTCTGTCTGCTTTATGTCCTGTTTTAGAAATGTCAGTTCTCTTCTAGCTAAAGGAAAGAGGAGGAAATTGTGTGTGTGCGTGTGTGCGTGGAGCCCCCAGAGGTAGGAGGGTAGGAGGAGTAGGATAGAGGGAGCTACTAAAAACCTCAGGCACAGTGACATGGAGGGATGGATGAAAAAGGAAAGTTATGCAGTGAAAAGGAGTCTAAGGAAGCTGAGCTAATGTAGTGCGAAGTGAAATATCTCCTTCTGGAAAGAGCAAAGGGGGAAGGGGAGGGTAGAAGAAAATAAATGCTACAATGTGTGTGAAACAGTGAATGTGTGCTGAAGAGAAGTGGGGTGAAAATGATAGCAAGAATAGGGCATGGGGCAAGTGGATCTGGCTCTAGTCTAGCTCTAGGCCAGTTGGCAGTGACCGTAACGGCTTTCACTGAGAGGTGTTGATTGTGTTACCGAGCCCTTGAGCCATGGGCGTTTAACCTCGACAACAGCCAAGAACAATGGCTAACAGCCGCGTAAACGGATAACATGTGAGGTGAAGTACAACATTTACTGCCTAAGACAATGACATCTGGAGCTGGAAAACTGAATCAGGGCTCAGGGCTTCGACAAGGTGCTGAGAGGTGAGTGCGAGCAGGGCAGGAAGCAGGTGAGCCCTTGGGGGGGGGGGGGGTAGAAGGTACATTGTGATTGATCTTTTTATAAATCCCTAGTTGCACAATCCTCTGACTAATCCCAACCAGTTCCCCGGGGACTTGTTTAACTGCGGCACTAGCCCTGCTTTTTATGAATTACCCGCACTGTAATGTGTGCCGCTGCTCATTACTGATGAGACTGACTGTGGTGTGTAGCGGTGCTGCTGTGGAGGGGGGGGGGGGGGGATGACCTCTGGGTTAAGACCTCCTGAGGTCGGTCACATCAACTCTTCAACACCAACATGTACACAGAGCCTGTCGGTACAGCCTCAACATCATAAACAATTGTTTCTAGGGTTTGACATATGCTATTTAATGTTTCTCTCTTTTCAGTGTAGATGGCCAATAAATAGATGATTCGTGTCTTATTTCCAAGGAAGTCTGATAACTGGGAAATGGTGTGTGTGTGTGTGTGTGTGTGTGTGTGTGTGTGTGTGTGTGTGTGTGTGTGTGTGTGTGTGTGTGTCCAAAGGAGACAGAGAGTGAGAGTGGCAGCGAGCAGAGTGCTCAGTGTGTGTTTGCGCTTTCTGCTGTGAATGTGTTCCAGATAGTGCTGCTGATGGTTATCTTTCGGAGAGAGCTCTATTGATTTGGCTGGGGTAAATAATTGGTTGGGTCTACAAGCTGTCATGTTCGGCCTGATTGCTGAGCATTGGTGGTCTCGAGCAGTTATCTTCCTCCATATCCCTCTCTGATCCTTCTCTAGCCTCCTTAGTCTATCTCTACATTTATTGATTAGGACCCCATATGACCATTCTCCATCCTTCAATTTGGGCAATAATCCCTGTCCCAGAGCCATGTGTTACAAGTTATCTGCTCTCCACTCCTTGTTCTGCTGTAGGGAGGGGGCACGTACAATTTAGGAAGGCTAAAAACAGGGAAATGAGGAGAATACAGAATGAGGACATTTGGAAGGGTCAGATGTAGCCTAATACAGGCTTGCGTGGTCTGCCCTAATTTTCCTTGACAGTAGACCACATTAGTACAGCTACTGCAAAGTGAGGTGGCGTGGGTGGACTGGGAGTGTGTTGGTGAGTGTCCCCAGCAAATTTCACAGTAATGACTCAAAAAAAAGGGGGGGGGGGGGGGGTATTTTCAATACAAGTGTTATTGCCCTTCCCCTAATAAACAACCCAAATTGCAGACAGATTTAACATTAAACAATAACTAAATAGTAAAAAAATATATAGATATGTCTGGACCAAACTCTATCCTGCTAGCTCTGTGGTCTCTATACCCTATCCACTGGGAGGCCTGGATGTCAAGTTTGGGAGGCCCTGGCTCACATGCTGCAGCCTCTCACAGGGTCACTGAGCTGAGGCGATGAGAAGACCATTAGCGACCCCGCTTGAATGGCTTTGGGAACTACAACCCCCACTGAGCAAGAACAAGAGGGTTTATTATCCAAGCAAACCCACAGAGCTTTCTTTTGGATGTATGGAGAAACGCCTCATTTACTGGTGGTATTTTTGTTCGTTTTAAAATCTATACCAGGCCCAACACCGCATGCACGTAATCCCCGCCAAACTCTTACAGCACAGCCGCGGGGACTTAATTGTGGTTTTGTAAAGCATAAATGTATTATGCTGTCATAAACTAGTTGGATACAACAACTTAATTAAACGACATAACCGTATTTTTTTCATAAATAATAGGCTTCTATAATGCATTTAAAAAAAAAAAACAGCACCGTAGAAGCTGTGATATGTAGCCTATAAATCAAACGGGGTTACATGTTTTAACCACGGTGCACTGCTTTGCCTACTCATAAGGACATCTCACTGTGAATATCTTTGGATGTGTGAGGTAAACGCTTAATGTCGTTTCCCCCAACTTTAGCCTGAACTGTTAGCCTCCATTCCTCCGTTTAAATCTCAGACTGCGCACAGTAGCGGCTTCACTGGGGCGCATGGAAGTTTCTGGAAAAGCAGAGAGCTGTCCGGGGGTGAAGTTGAGGGGAGACGGCAAACTTCCTCTGAGAGCTGCCACGTCCGAGCCCACTCCCAGCACCACTTCCTCTGGAGCACGTAGCTTAAAGGACAGCAGCGGAGGAGAGGGATACACTTGAATTAATTAACGGTAAATCTGAACAAACAAGGCTTTCTTTCTTTCCTTTATTCGCCGAGAGGTCTTCGGCAATCACAGCAGAGTAGGCTGCACTAGACAACAGATGTTTCCCGTCATTCCTGTCGGTGTTTTTGTCAGGCGAGATAGAGACGCGTGTTTTTATTTTCTCCTTTTCTTCCCCTTGTTCAGTCGTAGACTAAAAAGCCTCTTTTGAAATTTCATCAAAGTTAATTGTCACACTGTTTTTTTTCGCTCAGCCGGTGAGATAATAGCCATGTTGTCAAGTGGGGAGGAATTTAAAAACTCAGGTTTACTGCTGTGGCTCTGTAGGAGCAGGGGCTGCTGTTTGCACAAGTAGGAGTTTTACAGCAAACATGGAACGTTAAGACTGTGTTTATATTGCTTTATCTCAAATAGTCTATGAACAGTACAATAACAGCATGAGTATTACACAGTTAAAAATGTGTCAAAATATCTGTATTGAACAGAGCTAGTAGCTTGTTAGGCATTCTCTTCATGCCTCTCATTGTCATACACACACAAATAGTTTATCCTTTCACTGACTCCACTTCCTGTGCTTTCCTGTAGATCTGCCATGCAGCCCAGGCTTCCTGTCTATATCCTTATTTCTTTGCCAGTTCTCCTGGTGCAAGGCAGCACTGCTGGCTCATCCAAGAAGAGCTCTGCTGTCCCAGTCAGCCCTCCACCTCGCCCGCCTCCTCCACTGGGTGACCCCAGCTGGGCTCTGGGTCTGCGCCTGTACCAGGCCCTCCGCTCTGACTCAAGCTCGATAAACACCCTCTTCTCCCCTCTGCTCGTGGCCTCCTCACTGGGAGCGCTGGGTGGAGGATCAGCAGGCACCACTGCCAGCCAACTCCAAGACCTCCTCAAGACCCCATCTCCTGCCAAGGCTGGAACCCGTGCTGGTGAGCTTCTGTCCGTGGCGTTGAAGAGCTTCACGGAGGCCAATGGGACCAGCTTTCACCTGCACACATCCTCAGCTCTGTTTTCCAAGCAGGCTCTTCCAGTCAGCCAGACGTTTGTGAAGGAGAGCCAGGCTGGATTCAGGCTGCCGCATCAGCCGCTGGGGAAAGGAGACTCCAAGGCGGACCTGAAGCAGCTCCATGGCTGGGCCAAAGCTGGGCTTGGTGGCCTGGAGGGAGCTCCTTTAGCAGCTGAAGTCCAGGCTAAGGCTGGAGCCATGATACTGGCCAATGCCATGCGCTTTAAAGGTGAGCACAGTAAATACACAAGTAGTTTTACACGTGGGTCTGTACTCAGTTCACCATGCTACCATTGGTCTGTGGTGACAATGAAATATGACGTTGGTTGGGTAATGGGAAATTATAGTTGTAATAGTGTGCAAACATGTCCTCATTTGTCAGTGTGTCCAAAACAGTCCTGGGTGTGACATTAGATGGAGGTGACTTAATATTTCATTATGGTGAGCACCTAAGGACATAACTGGTTGGATGTAGACACGTAACATAGCAGCGAGCCCTGACCGAGTAATGCTGAAACACACTTGTGTGCTTTTTAATTGTTGAGTCATTTGTAATTATGCAGTGTCTCTGAAGTGAAGTTTTAGAATATTAATATGGCTTGCACATGTACCATTTTCAGTGTTCAGACAGCACTGAGAGCCTGCACGCCAGTTTGCCCACCACACTGTGTGTGCCAGCGTGCCCACCCGTGTGCAGTGTGCATGTCCGTGTGTGTGTCTGTGTGCGTGCATGCGGTGGACTCCAGCTGGTGGACACAGCAGATAAAGGATGATTCTGGGGTCTATCACTGAGAGCTTATTCATCTTCCATTGGGGGGTGATGTGTCATCTTAAATAATTGAGTAACAAGTGTCCAGACTCTCTCCCTCGGTGTCATGCCTAACATCTGTGCTTGGAGCGCTCCAAGTCTGCGCCGGCACAGCTTGGCTCAGATCTGTTCTTTGTGACGGGCTGCAGTGGTGGAAACCAGTCAATGTTTTGGTACAAATGCAGTCAGTTAGAAGCCCCATCTGTGATTTAACAGTTGCATCTCTAAAACATATCCACATAATCCTTATCTGAAGTTGATCGTTCATCATTGTGCCCGTTTAAAAAGTAGATTAGTTAAACTGTTAAAGGGTGTCTGTGTTTGCACAGCTAGACTTTTAGTACAAAAATGTCAAGAAGTAGCAAATGAGTTATTTTTCGTTTTCATGAGAACTTTTCAGGAATGTAATCTACCATCTCTCTCTTTCTCAGAGCACAGCCAACATTCGTGTGCCTGCTTACGTAGAATCTCATTTTTGTTTGCAGTCTTCACAAAAGATGACGATGCGTTAAATATACCCTTCTGTTTCACTTGTTCTTTTTGTGGCGTTTGTCTCTGTTTTTGTGCTTTTGTCATTGTTTATCGCGTGTCTAATCTACCCCTGTCTTCTCTCCCTCTTCTTCCCACGTGTCTCCTGTTCACATCCTTATCTGCTTCTATCTGCCTCCATTCCTTCTGTTTCCTCCTGCAGGTATTCTTTTTATTAGGTGCAAAGGAGGCATTGCTGTAAAGGCAAGTGAAAACAGGTTGCCAACAGATAGACAGCCTTTTGAAAATAACATTCCCTGACAGACTATACATTGATAAGCAATTTAATTAATTTTCTTTGTTTGATGTTTTGACTTCATTACGAAATGAGTTTTTCCGTGAACCGACCCTCGTTTGGTCGGTTCATTAATTTTGTGGAGGAAATATACAAATTAGATTATACAGCAGATTGCAGAACACAAATTAGATTACAGAAAATTGGATTCCTTTAGTTTTGATTCATAATTTAAAAGTGGTCGATATTTGCTTCTTGCTCTTACTAGCTGCCTCTGGTTTGTTGCAACTTTTTTTTTTTATTTGTCTTTGATTTCTGGGTCTTAAAGCAATTCTCTGTGATAATGTAATGGTTTCAGAGATAGTGCCGGAATTTCTTTTGGCACTGAACAGGCATCTGCTTCCTTGCCCGTTTTTGTTTGTTTCACTTTTGTTCCCTTTAGTTAATTATTGAAGGGGAGAATTAAAAAAGCTCTTTGCTGTCCCTCCTTCCCTGGGCAGTACACAACATTCAAAGAAAGGGAAGGTCAGGGGCAATTAGCAGTAGAACATGCTTATAGTAGAGAGATGTTAAAAGTGAAGAGAATGGGGAAAGGGGCTGCGGAGAAAGAGCAATGTGAGGAGAGATTTCTGGGTGGGAAGGGGACAAAGAGATGCAGGGTAAAAGAGATGGGTGGAAAAGTAAAGAGCAAAAACTGAGAAAAGTAAAGAGAGGGTGGCCTGCTGAGAGAGCGAAAGAGATTGACAGACATAGTGGAGGGATGCAAAAGGGCCTACCTTGGGAGTTTCAGTCCACGCTAGTTAATTAATTCAGGCTTTGTTCCCATTTTAGACAAACAAACACTGGAGACGGAAGGAGAAAAAAAAGATAGCGAAAAAAAAACAGTAGAGAGACTTATACACAAGATAACACAACAACATGGGGAAGTAGAAGAGGAAAGAAAAGGCAAGAGAGAACAACACGTCCCCACGTATTTATCTTCTAATAATACAGTAGCTTCTCAAATACCATAACTATTTGTAATCAAAAGTTGATAAGGGAGGAGAGGGAGTGGGTCGGTTGCATTGATTCTCCTCTGGTTTTTGCCTGAAGTTTACAGTATGAACTGATAAGTCTGTGAGCAATTGGATTTCTTAGCTGTGCAATTGTCTCATTGTTTATTGTTGATGGATATTAATGGATTCAGGTTTCAAACGATCTCTCCACTGCAGTGCTGTCTTATAAAAGAAGACAATGCAGTACATTATCTTGGACACAAGCCCACACAGGCACACGCAGAGATCAACAGAATCTGCTGTGCAGGCTGGTGTGGCCATCAAATCCCCGCTCAAGACCACTTACACACACACACAAATGTACGCACACTGTGGAGAAATTCTTCTCTAAATCTTCTCTAATCATTATGACATCATTTCAACAACACGGCTGCCACTTCAGGTAACCTTGAGCGTGGAGCAAATGTCAGTGACTAGCATGTCTGTGAGGCAGAATCACGTGACATTTTGCTGTGATGTGGGATTGGCTGGGGTCCAATGGAGGCTCTGTGGTTTTTGGGAAAGCCACTCCCAGTGCTGAAACAATTTGCCCATTAATTGAGCATCAGTTTTAATAGTTAAACAATTTAAACATCAATTTTACAAATCAGCTTTTGTGTACTTGTCATAAGGAGTACCCGTCAGCCCGTGAAAACCGTTATATACGTGCTTCCGAAGAAAATAACACTGATTATTGCTGAAATTTGTTTTTGTCTGTTTTTATAGTTTTCAACTTAACAATTACAAACGTTGGTCCACTGGATGGATTGTCATGAGTTTGGACAGACATGTGTGGTCCCCACAGGATGAATCCGACTGACTTTGGTGATCCCTTGACTTTTCATCAAACTCCAGCGGGAGGCTTACATTTTTGTGTTTTAGGGGAGATATTTTGACAACTAGCGGATAGATTGCAATGACATTTAGCACAGACATTTTCATCTCTTACCTTTTCATCTAGTGCCATCAGTACTTGTTAAATACCTGAAAAACTAACAACATTCCCATCAACCTCAGTTGTTCTGTGTGTTTGCTGCTAATAATGAAATGTTCACATACATGCTAACAAGCTAAACTAATGATGGTGAGCATGGTAAACATTATACCAGCTAAGCATCAGCATGTTAGCATTATCATTGTGAGCATGTCAGCACGCCGATGTAAGCATTTAGTAGAGCCAACCGAGTTTTGCAGATATTATCGGCCGATATTAGCTACTTATTGCACAGTTTGCCTGCCAGAGGGCGCTCTGCAGCTCCTCTGTTCAAAGCACTGCAGCATCACAGAACAAAACATCAGCTGACTGGAGACTACTGGAACATGTGGAAACAACTACAAAGAGTAGCTCATGGTAGCTCTCACACTCAGTGTTCTCTGTGAGTTGGTCATTTGTCACGTCAATTATATGACTTAAATAATAATAAAAATACTTCTCCTCTCCTGAAAATATTCGTGATTAGACTTGCTAACCCTCACTGCCCTCTCTGGGGTCACAGCAGTGCGTTTAATGTTACAGTAGGTGAGTGGAGGAGGCTACGCTGTTGACAGATGTGATTGTAGATTTATTCCTGAAACGGTTCTTGTTCCTCTCATTCTCCCTAATTCATTACTTCTAAATATTCTTTAACATCACTTACAGCAGCTAACGATTGCGAGCGCGCGGGGGGGGTAACTGGCAACTGCATGAACGTCGCGGTTCCTCACGGGTCTATTTCAAGTAGTCGGCTATTTAAAAACAATAAAATAAAAATCTCGGCACAACACCAGTGAAGCTGGGGCTCCATCTCTTCAGCAAGTGTTCCTCTTCCGCCACCACATTCACGCTACGCCTACACATGTGCACTGATGACCCAGGGTTAGGGTTACAATTTTGGATTTATTCACGCACTTTACAAAGTTATTTTCTTTTTAATTTTTTCTTTGTAATTAGCTGTATATTAAGTTATTGGGAGAAAACTGGTAGTTCTATGTAAAACCAGACGTTGAACACCCCCATGTCGCCAAAATGGCGTGATCCTTGTTTCACTGCGAAGCTACGACTGTGAGATTGACAGTCGAATCAGGCTCCGCCCATCGAAGCATTGAATCTTCCATTTGCTATTTACTTTAATGTTCATTAGTAGTAGTACTCTATAATTTTTTATCAAATCAGATAAGATATTTTAAGATGTTTTCTGTACTTTTATACATTTTACTGTTTATCAAAACTTAAATATATTTTGTTGTACCTTTTGTTCAAAGTACTATTCCTAACAATAAAAAAGTTTCTTTTTAAACTGCATTATGTCAGGGTATCTTGGTATGGTCTCAGCATAACAAATGTTAGGGGACAATCTTTGTTTGACAATCCTCGATAATGGACTCATATAGGTCCAGCATTTAGCTCAAAGCATCGTTGTGCAAGTACAGACTGACAGAGCCGCTAGCATGACTGTAGGGTGCTTCTCAAGTCTCTTAAGCGCATCACTTGCGTCTTTTCCTTGCGTCTTAGTCCCGCCCACCGTGGATGCATGGACAGAGACGAAAGGAAACAAAGCCAGGAGAAAAGGAACGAGGAAATAGGTTTTTAGAGACGTCCCTTCCTCCGAAGCCTCACGTGAAGCGACGTCCGTTTCTGATGAAGGCGCCAGCTAATCACAGCTCGATCAGATGTCAGTCGGCTGTAACAGCTGTAGAGACTTTTGAGTTTGTGTCTACACATATGTACACGGTGTTGGTACTCAGTCTCCGTTATCAGTGCAGACCAGCATGATTCTCAGTTACCTGTTTAACAAACACCTGCACATGAATAATTATACTGTCCTGCTCAGAGGCACAGGATAATTTCTACTGGCACAATGCTTATATTATCTGCATTTATATTTATTGATTCTGATTGAATTTGTTATTGAATAACCCAAAATATGATAAAATGTTTAAGGGAAATTCAAATGATGTAACTCATATTAAAGTCAACGCTCAGTTCTGGGCTCTCCGTTTATTTCCTCTTCTGATATCCTTTAACACTACTGCACACATTTTATTTGCAAGTCACATCACTCGTCACTGATCGATCACTGCGTTCCATCATATCAATCCAATGCATTTTTTTTTCATCAGCTGATTTTTCACACGGAGCCGCCTGCTGCTTTCATCACATGCAGTAGGTGAGATGGCTGGATGTGCAGGCTTAATTTTCCTTTGCTTGCTTCATTAGAGATATTAGTGCAGTTTAATGTCATCAGTCCTGATGTATCAGATCAGTCTGATCAGCTGCAGCGTCCAGTCAATATAACGACTACCAAATAAGGGGGCGTGTCGGTCAGTAAAAGACTTCCACGAAGGATGCACTGGTGTATCCTCGCTCATGTCTCCTCAGAGATCGATCTTCGCTCCTCGGAGCGCAACGGAGCATAACAACTTCCGGATCAAGCAACTAGCAAGGAAACGACAAATAAGAGACTTGAGAAGCACCCTTAGGCTTGTTTTAATCTGCCTCTTGCCAGTGCCCCAACTTGATGGAAGTGCAATGCTTAGTACTTTTCAAATGTTTGCCATTTTTTCTTGATAAATTACTTGTTTATCAAACATAAAATGCCAAACATTCAAAGGAGAGTATTTGGCATTTGAGAAGATTTGCTGCTTTACTCTGCTTTATATCACTGTAAATTGATTATTTTATAACTGTGTGGAACTGTTGTTCGGACAAAACGAGCAATTTAAAGATGTGACCTTGGGCTCTGGGAACTTAACAGATGATATTTTCTGATATTTTAAAGACTAATTTATTATCAACAATATCAAAAATAGAAGACCATGCACTCTTTGTCCAAGTATTTAATGATAAAGCCAAGCAACTGGTCTCTAGACCTTCATTGGGGCAAATGAGCCATTTGATTTTTTTGGCCTTCTTGCACTTTGCTATTGTGTCGTGATTGAGGTGATTTCTTCAAATCATTAATCAATCGCAAAATCATCACTAGTTGCAGCCCTAGCTGGCCCCGGGTGTCAGTCACAAAGAGTGACATGAGTGCAAGTCATAATCTGCTGACCTCCTCCCTTCATCCAGTGTCCCCTGCTTGATTGAATGTCCCAGTGTCTTTGCGAAAGGGTTATTACAACAGTAATTCCACTACTCTCAGCCCCTCCTAAATTGACAACTGTCAGGCGGTTAGCAGGGACAAGTGGGATGCAGTGAACAGTGAATGGGACAATGTGGCCTTAAGGACCTCATAACTGCCTCAGTTAAGCACTGTCAACCCTGCAGCTTTAAGAAGATTTTAATGGGTAATAGATATGATATATGATTCATGAGCAGTGTCAGCCAGTGTCACTGTGTATTTATGAACATGGCATTGTTTAACCTAGTGTCCAACTTTTCAAGTCCTTTCAATCATTCAGTATTTTCTTACAGCCTCTCCACGACAGGCATCCAAAAGGTTCTATTTTTTGTGTTTGTTTGGCTGTTTGTTCAGGGCTCTGGGAGAGAGAGTTCAGCGAGGAGAGCACAGATCATCGTACCTTTTTGGGGAAGAAATACACCAAAGTGATGATGATGCACAGAGCAGGTAAATAACAGTCTGTCGCTGACGTACTCTTGCCAGCAAATAAATGCAGCGAAAAGCAATTTGAGTTCTAAAATGGCTTGAACATCTGTAAGGTTCAATCTGCTTCCCTACTATTTATCACTGTGTACCTCGTGATTTATTTAACACGCTTTTCATATTTTATGTATTGTCTTAAAACAACAACGAAGCAGAGTGAAATTTTGCTGTGACAGCAGTAAAGGATGTTAGAGGGATACATTGTTTTTTATTTAATGTTATATTAAATTGCCATTTCCAATTTATGAAAAATATTATTTCAGTGATCCTTTGCCATCCTGTCTAAAGTTGCATTCACATTATGTTTGATTGGATTTAATCCAACTCTGCATTGTTTTCTCCTGTTGTACGGTTCATTTAGGCAGGTGAGTAACTGCACGGCTGAAAGTGCACGTCTGAACCAGCTGCTGTGGAGAGCTCCTGCTTAATTCTGTGCATGCCTCTGCCTGTCCTTTCCTCCAGGTTTGTATCGTCACCATGAAGACATGGCAAACATGGTGCAGGTTTTAGAGGTGCCTTTATGGGGAGGCAAGGCCAGTATGGTGCTCTTGATGCCCTTCCATGTCGAGAGTCTGGCGAGGTTGGACAAGCTTCTGACCCTTGAGCTGCTGTCCAAGTGGCTGGAGAAGACAAATATAACCAGTGTGGCCATCTCGCTCCCCAAGGCCAACATCACCAGCACACTAAGTCTGCAGGTTAGTACAACAAACTTTTTGCTTTTTTCATATTTGGTGAACTATTTGAATAATATTTGAACATATGTTCTAAAAAAAATAACACACAACTATAATCATAACTTTAAGGTTAGTGTAGTTAAGGTAAGTTTAAACTTGGGGGGTCTTTAGGTGAGGTACATCCTCTAGGTTTGTGGTTGCATCCTTTTTCCCCTCCCCCGTGGTGCACAGATGGCTGCAGCTCCAGAGTTTTCCCGAAGGGCCTTGGATGGCTCTGGCAAATCCTTGGAGTGAGTGTGAACAAACAGGTGCTCCATCCCCACCAGACACCAGCCCTTATTGATTTGGCCTAATTTCCAGAGTCACCTCACCTTCCCTGACAATTGCGTTTCTGGTGTTCTGGTGGGATCTGCAAGTGTTTCTGTGGGAGTAATAGTGGTTGATTGTTTTTATTTAGTCTTTGCAGTGGAGAAGTGGTTCCTCAGCTTTTTAATACTGTAGTGGAGATTGACAGAGCCCTGCATGCAGCCTGGACAGTAGTTTCTTCTTTTAGTTTCTATCTTTGATTCATTTCCCGTGTCCGCATCATTTTCATTGTTTCTTTGCCTTCTTTGTCCTCTTCTTTGGTTTTCCCATGTCTCTTCTTTGTTCTCTTCTTCTGTCTTGGCCACCTCGTCTTCCTGACTCGCACTCTGCTTATCTTGGTTCTCTTTCTCTTCCCCTTTAAAAGTATTCTTTTCTCTATTCATACGTCGTTCTTCTTCCTCCTCACTTTTCTCTGTCGCCTCCTCTCTCTCTGGCCTAGTGCCTCCGTGTTGTGCGGTGTTTCTCACACGCCTTTTCTTCCTCTTTCGCTTCTTCGTCCATACATTCTTTACCTACATCCTCTGTTTCTTGCCTACTTTTCTGCCTTCCTCTTCTTCTGCCTCTTTAGTGCTCTTGGTAACTGAAGCAGAGACCTGGCTTGCCCCTTCCAGTCCGATGCTCTGACTCAGGTGAGTTCAAATGTCACTCCTTCCCACACTTTTCCTCTCTTCCTTGAGGTGATGGGCATCCAGCTGCACACACAGCATTGGGGTGTAACAGCCTTCACCAGGGAATCAAACTCTGGCTGGTAGGAGGCTAAGAGGGGCCTAGGGAACATGATCTGTAGCTCCTCAGTGGGCTTCTGAAGCCTCCCAACTACCTCCTTTTGCAGGAGCCCCATGGTCATGCCACAGCCCAGCTGGTGGTCTGCTTGTATCTCTGCTCCTGTTAACCCCAGAGCCAGCAGGTATCTGGCCTGAGTTAGAAGAGAGGGAGCCAAGAAGAGCACCAGGCAGACAGGCAGCAGCTTAGTGGCTTCTGATGCTAATGTCAGTGCTTGGTGGTTGTTATGGTTCATACAGGCCAAACCGGAGGCTGGACGTTTAGAGAAAAGCTAGTGGAAGAGCGCGTATTTGACCAGGCCACAGGGTCCATAGCAGGGGCAAGGGCACAGACAAGTTGCTAGACAAGTGCTAGAATCACACAGGCCTCCACACCTTTGAGATTTTCCTGCTGATGTGGGTCAAGCTCGTTGTACTGATATTAGCTGCAGCCACTCACTAGGGATGTCTCAAAATGTAAATAACAGCCTTTGACTGACAACAGGCAAGTTTACTTTTGGTCTGTCATCACTTACTTACGGAATTAATGTAAATAAGTGACAGCTGATATGAGCTTCCAAGGGCAGTGTTTGCCATTCAAGCTGGCTCGAAATGAGACGAGAGGATAGACATTTAAGACGATGCTGATGTATTAAAATGTTCTTGGCCATGATACTGCTCAGGACATCTTTAGTACTCAGACCCTATGATGCATTCAGACTGAATGCAAAACATGTATCACCTTGTATTATCTGGATAAATGTATAGAGTGTGTGTGTAGAGTGTACTGACTGTAAAGACTATACAGCGTTTAGCTAGCTGTAACTAGCTAGCAATGTACGCACTGTGTGTAAATATGACAGCTCAGACCGCCATTGTGTTCAGTCTGAGCACACACTTTGGGTGAAAGAAAGGTACAGGAGTTAGTGGTATGGCTTTATGAATGAGTGAGAAAGACATAGTAAGAGAAAAAGAGCGAGTGAGAGGTTAGTTGAACCTGACAGATACAGAGGGCATGCCAGTAAAACCCATTTCCCCAGGGAGGGTACACTGACTGGAACCTATTACCATGTCCTCTTTAGATGTACATTGTAACCTCATCATTGACTGATGAAATCCACTTTGCCCTCTCTCTAGTTAAAAAAACATTTCTGAAGAGTTGTGCTGCCATGTTATTCTGCTAGCCATGCCCTGAAGAACAAGCTTTTGACATTAACATTGTCAGGATACTCTGGGGAGGAGGCAGTAATCTAGAACTAAAGCTTGAAACAACTCCTTTTGACACGGTTATGGCTTTGCCAGGGAAAGAGCAGAAAACATACTGTTGCACAAATACTCCTTTGTGTCTGCAAGAGAGTTTGCCTGAAAAAAAAAAACAAAAACAAACTTTGACTCTTGTAAACAACTAAAAGTAGATGTACTTTGCTCTCATTATGGGCCTTAATTTTGGACAAGCACTTGAATGTTTTGGCCTCTGTTTCTCCAACTCGTCAAGAGTTGTCTCCCTCCGTTTGCTCTCAAGAAGAAGAAGTGCACTTGAGGAATCATTATGGAAGGGCTAAAGCTCTGAACAAACCCTCAGTAACCTCCGTTCTCATTTCATCTGTCTGTCCAACCCTTCTGGCCAACGACAGCCTGCCATGTCTTCTCTGACGATCATTTTTCCAATTGGGTCGGGCAAATAATTGCTCATCACTGTGCGTTAATACTGTTTACAACTCTGTCTGTCAGTGCTTGGGATGGCCATGGACTCCTAAGATTAGAGGGCGGCATCAGGACAAAGAAGATCATAGTAGTGTGTGTGTGTATGTCAACCCTAACGCTCGTGTCCTCTGTGTGAGGCAAATCCGAACAAACAAAAACGCACAGCTCTGAGTCATGTTGCATGGATTTGCCACATCCAAGCGCACCCATTCCCTCCTTCACCTCTGTCCTCTCTGTCGTATCAGTCTCATCTAATCCCTTTTTGTCGGTCTCACGTGTGCCGGTAATATGCCATCACTCAGCGACCGCGCATTGGCTCTGCTGACCTAAATAGGAGTGACGTTCGCTGGTAAGTGAGCAGGAGAGGTGGAGGAGGATGAGGGGGGTCAATGATTGCTTGGGGACAAGGTGGAAAGTGTCACAGAGAACTATAAATAGTGCCAGAATTCAGCTTTTTTTTCTCTTTACGTCTCCCTATTTGTGGCATTCTCCTCTGGTGAAGGGCAGACTGTATCGGAGTCTGTAGCCAGAGATGGAGAACCCTCTTAACAAGCCTGGCCCAGAGGTCACTGAATAAACCACCCTCATTGCTCCCTTCCTCTGTCTCTGATCCAGTGCTGGCCAGGCCACACACACATACACACTAATGGCCGAGCTTGAGCTCCATTCCGGTTGTATCTCCAGTCGGTGACTAAGACATATGAGTGTGCGCCGAGAGCTCGCTCAATCATGGCTAATGAGGTCAAAAGGCCATCAAATATTTACAAGAGCACACTCCACAGTATACAGTGTCGAGGGACAGCTGTTTTAACACAGCTACCGCAACCTTGCATCATATGAATTAATCAGATGCATTTCATGGACATTAGTTAAATATCTAACTAAAAGCTAAAGCTTCTTTTTCCTTTTTCATTTGTGGTAAAAAAAAAATGGCCTTGTGGAGTAAAAAGCTGTTCATGTGTATATGTGAGCAAGTGAATGAGACACAGAGAGCGTATTGACCATGCAAAAGAGGTAAAAGCCCGTGGAAATAAAATACCAATACTGGCATTGCGGATGAGACTCAATGAAGAGATGGAGAGGCTTTGAAGCCTCAAGAGAGCTGATAGAAAGAGAGTGCCACATACTGCATACTTGAAACCACCCACGCAGGATGTTAAGGGCAGTATTGAATTAAGCACAACACGTCTGTAGTTGCTTAAGGTGGCAACAGCTTAAAAGAGTCCCTTGGCAGGTGTGATTTGTAAAAGCCAGATGAAATAGGAGGTGTAAATTGTGCAGGAGCAGTGGAGATAAGCAGGTTTTTAGCCCTGCTTTCTTATGATTTTTGGGCTGATTATAATCGTGATGCCTACATCGTGATTATAGGCATCACAATTGATTGGACCAGATTGGACATAGTTTGTTGTATTTTGTCATTTCATAGACCAAGTGATTCATTCAGAATGTAATCAACACTTAACCTTCAGCTCTCTCTGACGACTTAACAGTCTTTGTTGCCTTTGCCTCTTCATCAACTATCTCATCTAAACTGTGGTGGGGTTTTTTTGCAGCAATAATTAGCAAGGAAGACTATTTTTGATTGATGTCCATTGCTGTTTTTGTACAGAAACACAAATATTCGAGGTGTTTTGGGATAGAAGCAATTTATTGTACCTTTGGGTAAATCAGTCTTGGCTCTACTGCTTTTCCAAAAGCAATAAATGCAATATGCAATACACATACATAAAATGTTGCACAAGGCAATAAAAAATGATAAATACACAATTCTTATTTCAGAGCAAGGTTTCAGAGAACTCAGGATGTCTTTGAAAGCATTGTTTATTGAAGCCCAGTCATTGACCCACCCCTAAGTAAAATTCCCTCACACTTCAAGGCTTGTCATGGGATTTCGGAGATTACTTAGTGTTTTTATATATATATAGTGTTTAGATATATACATATATAAATCTCTTTAAATAAACCTCACTTGCTTGGCATGTGCTCCAATTTGTTCAAGTCCCATAGTTAGAAAGCAGCAGCTGAGCGTCTCTCTGTTTGATCTCAGCCTTGCTACTCATCTTTCTATTTTTTCCCATTGTCATTATTAAGGCTGCTCTGTCTTTTAACATCAACCTCAGTGACTCCTCACAGAAAGAGCTGTAACATGTCCTGGCTGCCACAACCTATTCCCTTAAAGCCCCCACAGGTACATCCAACAAGCTACTTACTGGGCTCAACCATCGAGCTGAAATAATGTGATGCAGAGTGCTGCACGCCTGGGGGTTGATGCCATGCTACCTCAGGCCTGGTTAGACCGCACCACTGTAGGCCACGTAAGCCCCCCCCCCCATACACACACACATACACAGAGGAAACCACCAGCTGACAATGCCTGTGGCTCTCACTCGCAGACAAATAGCCCGTTGATGCTGTGTGCGAGGCATCAGCAGTCCACCCAGTGCTGTTCCATCTAAGATTCATGTGGTGCTTCAGAGAGAAAGGGCAGCCAAAGAGCACCTCCCAGAGGTTTTTCTCCCCATATAATGCAGTGCCACACCTCTGCGATGCACAAGGCCTCTATAGGCTCCTCTGACACCCCTGGCCTGTTTCCCAGTGTGCTGCCACGGGGTCCCTACATTTTTAAACACTTTATAGCTTCAAAAAAATTGACCAAGTGCTTTTGCCTTACAAGCAGATTAAGAGTCAGAGAGGAATGCTAGGCCATGTGGGGTTGGTTGGTACTATTTATATGCGTCATAGTGGTACCTGCTCCACTGTAGGTCAAGGAATACTGGTAAAGCGAATGAGGAAGGGTGAGAGACACAGAAACCACCTCTTTACACACACATTTGTCTTAAACGATGTGAGGAATCCACCGGCTTGAATCTGTTTTCTGTTTCCTCGTTAGATAAGGAGCCGAAAACCTTGAAATGATTGCCGGTGGAGATCGAGAAGTTGAGAGAGCGATGTATGCCGGAGCGAGTTGGCCTGTCACAGAAAGAGAAGGATGAGGCGGGGAGGAAAAAGACTGAGTTGGGAGCAGAGAGAGAGAGAGAGAGAGAGAGAGAGAGGGAGATAAAATAGAGGCACGCGGGGCAGATGAGGGATGGGGATGCCAGGCAAGTGGCAGAGCAGCAGAGGAAGACAGTGATGTAGTGGTAGCGGGTTGAAGAAGAGCGGAAGAGTGGAGAAATAATGGATGAGGACAATAGAAGTGCATTAGAGGAGGAGGTGGCATGCGTGTCTGTGTGGAGAAGGAGCTTTGCATAAAAACACTGGGATGGGAATGACAGGTGCATACAACTGTATACACATCTACCTATTTCATGTTCAGACATAAGCCAGCATGATCCAGATTTAACTACCTCTTGCATGCACATCTTAACATTTAAAAAGAAAAGCAGACAGTACACATCGATTATTACAGTTGTCTATTAGCATGTGGTTTCAAGAACTGAGCGGCGCTGTAACTCTGTGGTTTTGGAAAGAAAGCCAAAGTCAGCAAGGCAGCACCCACATAACATTTCCATTTACCCAGACAACTCACCCAAATCAGTTTGTGCTCTTGTTCATGTAAAAGATATTTCCAATTGAGAGTTTAATCGGCTAAAGTTTAAACAGTGCTAGAAAAAACACCCTTCCGCCGCAACTTTTCTTCCTGCCGTGGCTTTCCGCACATCCAGAAACAAGTCCACACAGTCGCACGTTCACACCCACACATGCTCTCATCTGGCCCCTGGAGAAGCCTGTCACTGTGAGTGGCCCTCTGCCATGGGAGGATAAACTACCTGTCATGGCGACGACTTTCTGTGGAATTCATATCAGAGGCAAAACAAAGGAGGTGCCGAGGTCACGGGGCATCACTCTTAAATTATTCATCCTCTGCTTCCTCCTTCCGTCTCCTCTCTGCCTGTCGTCCACTTTGTTCTGCCACCTCACAACAAGGGCAACTGTCAGCCTCTTTCTCATCTCAAATTTTTTGGCATAGAAAGTAAATAAACATTATGGTTAAAAAAAAAAAAACTCCTTTTAGAAAAGTTACCGATTGACTGTTTTGGAGGATACATTTATGTTTACGTTGATCATGTGGGGAGGTTTGGGAAGGGCAGTGCATGCCTCCTGCTTCTGAAGGTCACAGCATCATGAAATTTTAAAATGTGCTTTCCCCTTCCCGCTTGTTGTTTGGTCTTGCGTGCATAATTGATCAGTGTCCTGGCAGCTGCTTGTTCGCATACACTTGCAGGACGTCTCTATAGTAGGATGGCCTCACGCTTTGGGAGCATTGATTCAAGGCAGTCCATAAATTCCATCACTCTGTGTTTTTTTTTCGATTCCAGAAACAGTTGTCTGCTCTGGGCTTGACCGACGCCTGGGACCAGAAGGTGGCCGATTTCTCTGGGGTGTCGGACAAGAGCAAGGGGAAACTCCATCTGGGTGGCGTCCTCCATTGGGCTTTCCTGGAGCTGGCTGCTCAAGCTGGGGAAGGAGACGCAAATCTAGAGGAGGAGAACATAGAAAAGCCCAAGCTGTTCTACGCTGATCACCCCTTGATCATCTTTGTTAGAGACAACGCTACTGGAGCCCTGCTGCTGATGGGAGCTCTGGACCATGCAGAGGGAGAGGCCCTCCATGATGAACTGTAGCACCCTCTAACATCTATCCTTTTTGCCTTTCTTTTTTGTCTCTTTCTCTTACACAATCCCCCTCAAAGACTATACACCGGTTTCTAAGGCGAGACATTGTCATTCACTGTGACACACTATCACATCAGACTACGGCTGACTGTCACACATTGACACTGCATAGTCTCCCGCTGACTGACACTGACATTGCCATACCCGACACTTACACAGTCGCACAGGCATAACGACACCTACATGGCATACATAATGAAAATACTGTACAAGACATTACTAAAGTTGACAGATGCAGCAAAAACACTAACTTGAAGAGACTCCCTGCATTTTCTCTCGCCCACGCGTGTGCACGCCCACACACATTCAAGGCCTCAATGATCAACTCAACAAAAACAAAAAAAAAAACAACCCAAAAATGACAAACAAGAGTGCACTGACAAACACTAACATGCTGACAAGCAGAAGTAGTTAAACTGACACAACACTTACAGCAGCGTCAACAAAGAACTTTAACGAACAGAGGCTCGCAGCGACACTTGAATCCTCCCTGCCAGGCAAACACCAGGGCAGGCGAATGTGTGTGCGTGGTGACCCGACAGATCAAGGGTGCCCATGCGGTCGCTCTCGGAGCTGGCAGGAGCCTATGGCGGTGTCCCCTGGGCTACATCTGAGGAAGACTGATGGATCAGCCAAGTGCTTATTGATGAGCCAGCTTAATGCTAATAGCCGTAATGAGTCACAACGCTTGTCAACAACACGGAGAGGACAGGGAACCTTTTAATCTCTTAATACCATCAGGGATCAATGACACTGTTATGCTGCTAGAAACAAACATGACTGACATCGCTTGAGTTTAATCTTAAAACAGTTTAATATTTAGGGTGATTACAGCAATTTAGAGAGGTATTGATTTTCATTTGTACATTTGTTTTTTTGAAGCACACGAGTGGATGGTTGAGATATGTGAATGACCTACAGTAGCTACTGTGTATGTTTGATATTTGATAAGGTACATTTTTTTAAAAAATGTGTCTGCTCTTGTTTTTACTGTTTTTTTCACTTTCACTTCCTTAACCCGATCTTGATACAAACCAATCAATCATGAAAACATGTACTATAAATATATTATATGTGTGGATTGCCACAGATCCATCTTCATTGACAGCACTGATACAGGCTAAGACAGGAGGCCCCTTTCTTTTTCTATTTTTTCTTTTTTTTACTTCCACCCTGAACTGAATGTTGGCTGACATTGAGCCTCAAGGGTCTATGGAAGCAGATTTAAAGCCCTGAACTAGCATCGGTTATTGAATTTTGGAGGGGCAACAACACATGAATGGCTCGCAGTGTCTAGAAAGTACAGCAACAACTATGTCAACATACTCAGCGATTGCCTCCCAACAGACAATGGCAAAATATGTTTTTTTGTATTTCCACCAATGAATAGAAACACAATATATTAGTTAATTAAAAAAGTAGTCCTTGCTTGCCATTCCTCTTTAAAGTGTTTTATATCGCTCATTTCCAATTAGACAGGATGCTTTTGTGTTGTACTGACTGTCCATGCGTCTACACACAAAACACTTATATACTTATACTTATATAGTATTTCTTGACAGTAAAAATAGCAATGTGTGAAAAAACAAATGCCCCCGCCTGTCACTTGTAATCATTGCCCCAGTTCAGAAAGAAAACCCACAAAGTTCTGTCCTGTTACAGTAACAGCGTCTAGACACACAGCTGGTCCATCTGACAGCATTCAACAAATCTGTTCCAGAAACCCCGGTTACAGCTTTCTTCCTAATTTAGCCCTCTGCACAGGTCTGCTCAGCAACAGTATGTGTCATGCCTGTGTGTGTGTGTGTGTGTGTGCGCGCGAGTGTGTGTGTGTGTGCGTGCATGCATGCGTTTGTGTTCTGTCTGTTCTCGTGTGCATTCGTGTGGGAATAAAGCTACTACAATGACCTCTCTGCAGTGGCCTCCTGTGCAGCAGAGACTTGTAAAGGGCACCATATACTGCAGGTATACTCTACACTGAATAAACCCGGGAGCTCAATTTAGACAAGCCGATGATGGCTCCGAGGCCGTCTGCTGTGAGCACATCAATCCTGCTCATTCCAACACCAGCTCCCCACTGACTCACCTTCACATTTCATTCCGTTCAGAACACTGTCAAACACATGCATGTCCACATCCGCTCACAGGTAGCCAGACATAATCTGACACACAACGAAAAGGTTATTTGTGCAAGACCATAGGTTGTAGAAAGTAATTATCAACAAAAAATACATTTGTTTTCAAACTAAGCAATCCTGGAAGCTGTCACAACACCATGCTTTAATATATTAATGAAAGACAGTAGAGTTGTGTTTATCATGCTTATTGAGACATCCTTTTTTATATTTGTTGACCGTGTGTTTGTCTTGTCAGCGCACACTGTGTCCAGGAGCACTCCTTGGTAATAGCTGGCAGCAAAATTTTAGACAGGTAATTGAGTTGAACTGCTTTATGAGCTCTCTGTGATGACTTGACACTATCACCAACAGTACACGTCTACACAGAGATGCTCTCTCACATGAAAAAAAAAAAAAAGGTTGAAAGGAATTTAATGTTTAATTTGTTTTTAAATAAAACATGTTGTAAAAGTGCAACCGTGAACCTGCCCCTGCTGCGCCATGATAGGTTCAACCCTTGGACAATCCAAGCGACAGAAAAGAGGGCGAGACAGCTAAAGAGCACTCACTACTGTACTTACCCTTTTAGACGAAATCATAAAAGTGGCTCTGGTCAACTGGGGGTCAACGTTGCTGATGCTACGGGGGCCCCTCCATTTTCACCCCTGCTCTTGTTAAAAGCTTGAGATAGGTCAAAAGTAAGAGGCAGGCATGTGAGACATGGAAAACAGCGATGTTTCATACTTGTGTTCAACCGCAGGGACAACTTACTGGCATTTTGAAAAGATATGTTATGTAGAAGCCACACAGATAGCCAACTGCTTCAGCTGTACACCCACAAGGGGAATGGGAGAGTGTAATAAAGATGCACTTCCTTAGCTATTTAGAAATCAAAATGGCCTTCGGACATGATGAATGAACCTTACAAGTGTTTACATAGCTTTAGCAAGAGTTGACACTAGGTTCTCTCAAGAGCTGGGATATGTCTTCATGGTGCTGTTGATGCCTCAGGGAAAACCTAGTTAATTTTGAATGAATTGGTGTAATTTTAGAAAAATATTTATTAACAAATTAAGATGCAAATGTATTATAGTGGGAGCATTGAAAATAGTCAGGTCAGTTTTATTTTTTAGTCAAACAATTTACAAAATAAGGTAGTAGGCCTACTCGATGTGGGCATGATGATGCTAATGTAATATAGGAGAACCACCCTGCCCAGTGGAAGCAACTTAGGGTTCAGTGGTTTAGTTTTGATCAAGGACACTTACACATGTGGAGGCGGGGACCAAACCTTGCTAATAATTGGACCTCCTAAAAAAACACTCCATGCACTTACATTGCACTTGATACCAATCTTAAGGTAGATCCATTATTAGAAATAGAATGTTATCGCTTGTTCTTTAGTACTTTTATTTGATTATAGCATCTATCAAAGCATTCTGATGAAATGCATTATTGTTTGTTGAGAAATGGAACATTCCCAATCCCAATTGGTGTTGGTCTGGTGTAGTCCACCAACAGATGGCGCCATAATAAAAAATGAATCAATCATCTACAGTTGAAGGTATTGTTTCATCAGTCCTGTGGTCTATGGTTTCATCACTTTACAGCTGCTTGACAGAGGTTTGTTTTTTTCTTATTGGTCAAAAGTTCAGTCTCCCTCCGGTGAGAACATAATATTCACATGAACAAACTTTGAGTATGAAATAGGCAGATAATGGAAGTACCCTTAGTCATTCCAAGGCTAACATTTATTATCGGCCTCAGGGGAGAACTTTATTGTGTTCACAGAAAAAACAGCAACGTATTGTTCATTGACACAAGTAACTGCAAATCCTGTAAAATTGAATCCTGTGCATTCAGTTTTTGCATCACTCCAGGTAACACCCAGTGTTTGACATAACTATTTTCAAACATGTAGCTAATGTTACCTGACTTGGTGAACGGTGCCGACTACTTTTTGTGTTGCTTGCTAATTTGGTGGGAAACCATAATACACCCATTGCAGTATGAATGAATACCATTGACAGGCTGGGCTAGCCTGACCAGAATGGTTTGGCTAACCGTCAACTCACTTTCCAGGAGGAATTTGCAACTGTGAATAAAGGTTTCCCTTGTGCCAAAATGTGAACAACTGTATGATTTTGAATAAATGCATGTAACTTTAATTAATTTAAGTGGGATCACTCAAAAAAAACCACAACCCTACAAAAGACTTTTGAAGGCTAAATATCACACAATAGCTTTGCTCTGTCACTGTTGTCTATTGTCTTTTTCTGCAGCAGATAGTTAATCTGCCTGAAGCAGACTGTCTGCAGCAGCCCATATTAATGGTATTGATCATTGTCAACTTTTGCGCTTCCTGTAGGGTGGGGTTTCTTGGCTTTTTTCTTTCCAGTAAAGGTTTCTTTTTTCATTAGTCCCGTTGTCTGTTCTTTTCCCCAATAACCTGTCTCCTTTATTGCACAAAGTCCTTAGAAAGTGACAACTTGGGAAACTGAATCAAAGTTTCAATAAAGCCTGGACTGCTGTGGGCTTTGACAAGTGAGGTGGCTGGAGTGGAAAAGTACAGAATGAGACTGAAGGAGGACATATCAGTTCCAGAAAGATAAATAGTTCATGAAGCTGTTGACTTCACCATTTTATTACTTTTGTCTCTGAATTTTCTGCCTGCCTGCAGCTCTTTCTGCCCACAAATTATTCATCGTGCTCCCTGCAGGCCCCAGCTGTCAATCCCAGGATTAGGAGTTGGTAGGGAAGATGGGAGTTGTAAGTTTGTCATGAGCTCAGGTGTATACTTGCCAGGGTCTTGATAAAATTATAATATATCATGGTACCATATAATCATCTCAGTTTTACTTGGAAGAAGACAAAGCTGCAGCAGTGAAGACTGAAGTTAGACAAGACCGCTTCTTACTTCCTTTAATGTTTTCCACTTTAGTTCTTTGACCTTTCATCTCCCCTCTGTTTTGAAGCTGACTCAGGAGGGTTCGAGAAGACTACAGCCCTTCTAATGGCCTGAAGTCTCTCATGACGCCTGCGGGAAGTCCAGTCTGAAGGTAAATAATAATTATGGCTACATACAGGAACATTATAAACTCCATGTGTTGATGGAGAGCTTGGTAAATGTTTCATTTTCTATATTTCATGTAATGGTTGTTGGCTGTTTCAGTCAGTTATTAATTGAGAGCGTTTTTCATGATTTGAATAATACGCACATTGCAAATATGTACGTACAAGTAAATCTCTTGATGTATTGACAAGGAATGAATATTTTATTATTGTATGCACACAAGGTTAACTCAGTGTCTTCCCTACACTTGATCACATCTGGATTCCATGGATTTTTCTTTTAGATTTGGTGTGCAGCTAATCTTTAAAATTAAAAAGCACCATATAATTATCCTGTATCGTTCTCCTCCAGAATGTCTAATTAGATAGGTGGGTAGGTTTATTGTTACAATATAACAAGTTATAGAGTGGAATTGAGTTTCTGCTCCCTTCTGAACTCCCTTCTGCTGCATAGCAGACAATATTAATGCAGAATCAATTATAAAAATGGTAAAGAAGAAGAAATAAACTATCATCACTGGAGCAGTCCTGAGGATGAATTAGAGTTTAAAAGTCTGATAGCTTGGGGGGAAAAAGCTGCTCTGCAGTCTGGTGGTGCGGCAGCAGAAACTTCTACAGTATATCTCTTCCCAGACGGCAGCAGGGTGAACAGGCTGTGGCTGGGTGGGTACTGTCCTCTAGTATCCTTTGGGCTCTGTGTAGGCACATCACTTCACCGATATCACTGATGCTAAGGAGAAATGTACCAATGATCTGAGCAGTTTTAATCACCTGCTGCAGAGCCCTCCGGTCCTGGGCTGTGCACATCCCATGCCAGTTTGTGATGTTTCCAGTCAGGATGCTATCTGTTGCTCCTCTGTAAAAGCTGACAAGAACTTGGCACGGGAATTTGGCCTTCTTAAGCTTCCTCAAGAAATACAGTCGTTTCTGAGCTTTCTTCACCAGCATGGAGATGTGAGATGAAGCTGTCAGATTCTCTGTGATACTGATCCCCAGGAACCTGAAACTCATCTGCTCCACCTCAGCTCCACTGATGTAGACAGGAGCGTGTGTCTTTATCTCCTTCTTCCTAAAATCAATGATCAGCTCCTTAGTTTTGCTGACGTTGAGCAGTAGGTTGTTTTCTGAGCACCACTCTACAAGATTATGAATTTCCTCCTGATATGAAGTCTGTTTGAAACCTGGCTGATGATGGTGGTGTCATCCGCAAACTTCACAACAGAGTACCAATAAGTAATTATGTAATTGTGTGATTACCGCTGGGAGGAAGAAATTGTGTGAGTTTAGATTTTCGTATTTCTCAGCACAATTACATCAACCCTGAAGTCCAGACTACTGTCAAAAGTAATGACAAAAGAAAAAAACGAGAATGGTGAAGCTAGATTATTCTGAAAATGTGAA